TTATAGATTAAGAAAATTACTATTTTAGTAGTTTCGACTTATTAAGAGTAAAATAGAACGAATTAGCTTTACTATTATTAATAAGGAGGTTTATCTCTTCGTTAACTATAAGATTAAAGCGTACGTTCTTATATACGTCGACGATAACGCTATCGCTACTCCTAATAAGCAAGTTATAATAGAAGTTTATCGTCTCCTCGAGAAGGTTTATTCTCTTAAAGACCTCGGCAAGGCTACCGATTTTCTCGGTTTCTAGATTGAACGCGACAGGGCTGCTAGTAAGATTTTCGTTTCCTAAGCTAAGTATATAAAAGCAGTACTTTAACGATTCGACTTTAATAGTTTAAACGCTATTAAGACGCTTATAGCGACTACTAACGATCTACCTGTTACCTAGGATAAGAATAAATACTTGCTTAACGAATAATAACTTTATATCGAATAGACCGGCTGCCTTAACTTCTTAGTAGCTAGAACTCGCGTTGATATAGCTTATACCGTTAGTAAATTATTACAAGCGAATTCAAGGCTTTCTAAGGCCTATCTTCGTGCTATTAAGTACTTATTCCGATACATCAAGGGCACCGTTTATCTCGTTATTATACTTGGAGGCATCCTTACGATCAACGAGTTAAGGCTTTACGCTGCTGCAGATACCTCTTTCGCTAATAACAAGCTATTATAAGTCTCGTAGGTAGTTACGTCGTCTTCCTTGCTAGTATGCCGATTGCTTAGAAGTTAAAGAAATAGACTTTCGTAACTTTAAGCATTACGGAGGCTAAATTTATTAATCTTATACCTATAATAATTACTATAAAGTAGATTAGACGTTGCCTCTCCTAACTACTTAGCAAACCTATTACTATGCCTACTATTATATTTACTAATAGTACTAACGGCTATGATAACGTTATAAACCTACTTAACAAGGTACGAACCTGCTATATCGACGTCTAATATAAATAGATTATATAGGAGGTTTATACTATGAAAAGCATCGAACTCCGACTTATCAAGGGCGCTGATATGGCTGCCGATAGACTTACGAAGCTACTAGTTACGGTTAAACATAAGGAATTCGTTCGTTTGTTAGGCATGGCAGAGGGATTAAATTAAGAAGGGGGTTTAGAAACTATAAGACTATTAACATTAAGACTTCGGGATTCGGAGGATTTCATAGCCTCCTATTAGCTAGGTTTAACCGGTAATTAACCGAGTTTTCTAATAGTTGAGAACTCCTCGGATTTGGAGGAATTAGGACTTTTCCTATATTTTCCTATTATTCTTTTTCGCTGAGGAGTCTGAGAGGGGGTGTGGGTGGCAGGCCTCGCCGGCCCGTCACGTGGGCTGACGGCCGCCACCACTGGTCTTAGCCAGCCTCCACAGCCCTCTAGCTAGTTAGTTAGTTCTTCCACCAACAACACCACTTTTCCCATTCTGAGCGTTCTGTGCCGGTTCTCGCCCACAGATGTTGCGTTGACGATGCTTAGCTCGGGATTCGTGAAAAGGTGATATTATACTTAATTAACTTATATTATAGGTTTTTATTAGCATCTAATTATCTACTCATTTAGATTTCTTTGATCTTGGGAGAGTTGTAAGACTTTGAAAGAAATATTATAAGCCTTGTAGTAGTTTAAGTGGCAACCTAAGCTGTAACCATCATAGGGCATGAAATCACTGCAAAGAGGCAATCTGCTTAATAAGCAACGACCCGCCTTGCTAGCTCAATCGGTAGAGCGTGAGACTCTTAATCTCAAGGTTGCGGGTTCGACCCCCGCGTGAGGCTCAAATCCTCACCACGATTGAATTATTCCAATCCTCCGGGTTCATTTTTTTTCCACAGTCATCATTTCTACTGTTTTAGTAACCGTGTTGCTACTTTTCCTTTTCTATACCTGCTCACGATCATTCTACACGGTCCATTCTAGGCCATAGCATGCTGTTACCTTCGGTTGAGTTGTAGCTCATATACCTAGCTGGCTGTATTCCACACAGGATTTCAGTTTAAGTGATTCATTCCCCTGGCTTCTCAATAGAAACATCCCATGATCATTGGTGCCCAAATGCTGAGTTCCACTACCCTCTCGATGTTGTCCATAATTCAAGTTCTGCGTTGCCACACGCTACAACAAGCTAGGGATGATACACAAGTTTCCATCATGAAATGTTAGGGGCGCAAAGCCCCAGACAGATTCCATGACCCGCCAGTATCTCACATCAAGAATTTTCACTAGCGTATCCTCACTGAACTGCTTCTGATGCATCTTCCCAGGACCTCGCACGCAGACGCTTCATCCAGGAAACACCAGAAGCCAAATCCCTCGACACTGCGCCCCCCCAACAACCAACCCTCATCCCACCTCGACATCCTCTAGGAACCCTCAACAGCACACATCGCAGTCCTGGTTTCGATCTAAACTGCTGGGTATCCCCAAAGTCACGCAAAACGTACAAGCGGATCCTCGCTGGAATCCCCGTCCGGGAAATGAACCCACGCCAAGAAGCTTTCCGGTCACCGCGTGCCGGTGCGGTGGTCTAAGCCGAGCGGGTCCCGCAGCGCCGAGACTCTGGTCTGGGTTCGAACCAGAAACCCCCCCCTCTCCCAAAGTTCGTTTTCGTTTTTTTTTTTTATTCTTCAACCACGCTAACAATATCGGAGTATCTCGGTTCATCTCTCTAACATGTCTAACTACCTTAGTGAGTGTGTACCCACCAAGAGGAAAGCCCACTTTCGGGCACTGACACTATGTGACATGACAGTCTCTAAAACAACCTTCTCGATACCACAGACGTGGCAGAAAAAAAGAAAAAAAATGGGGAGGGGTTTTGATCTCAGCGGGAAGATTTCTGGGGAAATGTATGGCATCGATAAGCTTGTGTCAACCCTTGACGAGGCTGTGTTGTGTTTCTGTCTGTGTCCCGTGTCGTCTTGTCTGTCATACTAGTTGTAAGTAAGTATGCCATGTAATACTCTGCCCACAAAAAAAAAAAAAAAAAAAAGCTTCAAGGTTTTCCCAACCGCTATCCATCCTTGCAAGAAGTGTGTAACACGCATCTTTCTCGTTCCGTAGGCTTTTGAGACTATTCATTAGTCAGGAATGGACGATGTGAGGGGAGGGGGGGCCGCAGTTCGCAGTGCGGGTACAGAAGTAGCAAGTTAGGTTTCCAGGCCTCCCCCCCCCCCATCTCTCTCTCTCTCTGGGGACCTTCCTGGGACGACTACGACCATCTCCCGGGTGACAGGGAGACAGGGAGGCAGCTTCTAATTCTAAACTTGCGTCCGAAAGCTCTCGTAACGTCACGGAAGCTTGGAGCTCAGGTAAGAACCATGATGCTCATCCCTAATCCACCTAATAACCCATGTCCCCTAGACAGGCGGGCCAACCAAGTAGTTAAACTGACGAGAAACACTACACCAAACGTTGGTCCGTGTTGGCGTCTGGTCAGATCAGGTTTACTGATCAACACCTGCGTCAAATGAATTCTTGTCAATCCTTACGCTGTTGTCAAACGAGACTTTGGAAGCCATCACAAAGTAGGCAAGGTAAGGCGCAGCACGTCTCCCTCGAGTGACAGAGCAGCTTCAGCGATCTCAGTCAGCAAAACAGGCTCTCGTGGTAGAGATAGCGTCCGGTATTTGCTGGCCTGGGGCTGGTGTGACGGGCTCTGTGTCAGCGGGGCCTCCCAACACCCACGAGCCCGAGGGCAGTCTTTCCGTCGAGTCCTTGTCCTGGGCAATGGGGCAGACTTAGTGAGCACCTGGATGCCAAGCCCCTCCCCTAATGAGCTGATCAACAAACGGCAAGGTTTGGCTTTAGGTTGTGCGAAGTCGTGAGAAGTAGCTGGCTCTTAGTCACCGCGTTACCTACGAGAGTTTGTGACTTTTTACCGTAGTGAATAGTAAAGGAGGCCTCATAATAACTGATTTTAGGACTACAGTGGTATGTATTGTCATCATCGATGTCACTAGATAAAATTTATCGCGAGATTTTGGCCCAAAAAAGGTCGTCGTCTGGCGCGAGTTCCTTGCCTCGCAGCCATACTCAACTCCGCTTCGTTTGTACATAACCTATGTGCATGTAGGTATGCGTATCTCTTCGTTTCGTACAGTTCCATAGCGTGGCCAAAAAAAAGAAAAAAAAAAGTACGAAAAAAAATAGAAACCCAGTAACAAAGAAAACAAAATGGTGTGCAGTTAGCCTACATGGGCGCAGAAGTTCCAAAAAGGCAAGAAAAACTCTGGAAATACCCCCGTTCCCTCTCCAGCCAAATCCACCGTCACTCTCTTCACTGATGCTCCGAGTAAAAGGCCCTGCCTCTTCTCTCCCTCCTCTTCCCTATTAACTGCCCAGATCGATAAGAGTGAAGAAAAAGCTTCTGAAAAAGTAGAAAGCAATTCTACTTGGAAGCAATGAAAACTCCTCGCTTCCCCTTTCGCCGGGGCCACCCCAGCTTCCACTGCGTCGACCTAGCCTCTTGTGTTTTCAACTCCTTTTACCCAGATCCGGTCTTCCAGCGAACCGTATCAAGAGAACAGAGGAAATCAAACACAACTTTACGCCCCAATCCCCCTTGTATCCATTGCCCGCCCGGTATTTTAGTGCAGACATTAAGGTGTTAACGAAAGGTTTGAGGGGGCCTGTATGGCTACACCCGCTCGAGTTCGAATAGATAGGAAAAGAAAAGTGATGTAAAAGATCGAAAAAAAGTATGAACGGCAAAGATAGAGTCTATAGCCTTGTCGATACATTATTGTACAAGAGAGCCGACGTTTGATTCGGGGAATTTGATAGTCTTCAAGAAGCCATCTAAAAACCATCGCATCGTATAAGCGGCTCGCATTTGTCGTTTCCGTGATTTCGTGAACAGTCATGATTTGTTGCCTAGGTTATGTTGCTGCGAGGCACATCGAATGCTCGTACATAGCTCCCCAGCCGCGAATCTGACGATTTTGATCCACTGATAACAGGTCTAGTTGCTGGAACCCGGCTCCTCATCTAGATGATGTTTGCAATACTCAGCCTGTCCTGAGGCCGTCCCTTAGCGCTCGATGTCGGGCTGTTGCCGGTGCTTCCCTCGCCACCAGGTACTATGCTCGGCAGCATCGGGGCAGGTGTGCCTTCGGGCTTGATTCCAGCAGGCAAGGCGGAGGACCAAGTCGCAGACGTTGGTGTAGGAGTCGAGTTACCTGATGCCAATCCGCGAATGGCTGTTTCGAGACGTTCCCAACCGCCCCACTCCTTAATTTCCTCCTCACTCAGACCAGTCCGCTGCTCCATACTAAAGAGACCGCTACTCGCACCGCCAGAAGCCGTTATGGATACAGGCGAGGTCGGAGAGAGAATCGCCTCTCTCTCGCCACCGGTCCAGATCCAGGCAGCGTCTGGGGCTGCCTGCAAATCAGCGCTGACATATGCGAGAAGCTCCTCATCGTGAAGGAGAGCCTCTTGCAACGGGGTGGGGCCAGTGCGGTTCTGAGGCAGAGGAGGCGGAGCAAACGGTTTTGGTGGTGTTGTGCGAGCAACAAACGACGCATATTCGCTGCGTTTGGTGCTCAGTGCCGAGACGAAGAAGGCGAGAAACCGACCACAAGGGATAGCGACATCGCGTCTTGCATCGATGGAAGCAAGGGCACGTAGGCAAGTAGTCGCATGATCCCAGTAGCCTGCGAGCAAGAGGAAGAGGGCACAGCGGAATGTGTGCGTCGTAAGAAGAGCTGTAGCGCCATCCGCAAGGCTGGGGGTAGCGCGTGAGAGGAGGGAGGCTGTTTCAAGAGCTGTGTGAGTGCACTGCTCCATGGCAGCAAGTCGTACATCGGGTGGGCTCGTTGGTGCAAGATTGTGGCGGTGCAACACGAGACGGGCATGCAGCAGATAGGTGATGGGGTTCAGAAGATGAGGAGCGATCTGCCCTGTGCTGGAAGTGTCACAAACCGGTGGGAAGGCTCGAAGACAGGCCACAAAGTGTTGGTCGAACGTTGCGAGTCTGGTCGGGGCAACAGCCGGGGCGGCCAATGTTTTGATCAGGGACGAATATGACCGGATAACATTGATCAGGGCCAATAGGGAATGGTTGAGAGGTTCTCGACCAGGGGGCACCATTATGCCGCCTTCGTGGATGTAGTGATCATCGACACCTGCTGGGAGCGATACATCGCAGTCAGAATCGTCAATCAATACAGGGCGCCCAAGGTCGAGTGCCAGGCTCCGGTCCAAAATGTAAACGGTCCACCAAAGTCTTCGGCGCATTTCGCCCTCGATAACGGGCCAGGGTCCAGACTCCGAGTACAGGCCAAGGTCCTGACCGGCCCGCACCGCGGTTCCCAGCCAGGTCCACGCGGCCGACTTTTGGTTCAGTTCGTTCAAGCACAACGTAACAAGCACCATGGCCCGTACATTGTCCAGTACATAATCGTTGTTCCACGGGTCGATCATGTTTCTGGCAACCTCCAGCAATTCGGCTGCTCGGTACGAGCGATGAGAATGGGGGTCTTGGCTGAAGAGGCTCCCTAAGGCAAGAGCTGCGAAGAAGGCAGAGAGCCATGCCGGCTGTACTGACTTGGTATTGCCGATTCGGTAGAGATCGTCGACTCCCGTCTGGAATGTTGGCCAGTGTAGGATGGGAAACATGGTGTGCGCAGAGCCGTAGTAGGCGTGCAAAAGCTTGTCGGTTGTCTGCCTTGGGGGTAGATCTGGCCTCGGTGGATCGAATAACGGCGTCGAAGGCGTTTGGCGATATTGCGCAGGAGGCTTCCAGATCCCCCGGGAAAAGATGCGCATGTTTGACCTTGCTCTTGCCAAATCGTGCATCGGTGCAGGCCGCTTCCTCCGCTTTGGGTCGGTACCAATTTCTGGAAGCTGAAGAGGTAGCTGATCAAGACCATCGTGATCAACGTCCATTGCTCCATCCCTCTCCTGGAGCATTCTTCTCATGCTGCCATTCTCCCTTCTGAGACGCTCCAACTGTTTCTCCAGGTCTTGAACCTGCTTGATCGATGACATCCTCCTGTTCGTCTCCTTTGTGAACTGGCACTTGACGTTACGGCTCGAACATTCTGAGCAGCTAGTCGTTTCCGTAGCGTCGCATTTGACCTTTCTTTCCCTACATGCGTCGCAGCTAGGATCTTTCCGCCTTTGCCTGTACGCTCTTTTTTGTGCTTGGGAAATGGGGGGCAGCGAGGCAGCTGAAGGGCCTGGAGTGCTTGCCACGGACTCAGTTGAAGGCAATGAATCACGCCCCATCATTGAGCCCCCAGTTACCGGCGTGTACGGCGTGAAAGCGCTCTGGTTGACTGGCGGTAAAGGCGGAATGCCTATCGGTTGAGGAGGGGGGGCCGCCGTCGTCCTTGGCCCTGTGTTCATCAAGCCTCGGGGGATGTACTGGGCTGGCTGCTTCGGAGAGGTGGCAGAAGAGACGGAAGATGAATCATATGACCTGGTGGAGGGATTAGGAGACCTTGGATACGGGTTGTGCGACGATGCAGCCATGGCTGAGCGCTGTTCGAAGGACCAGTACTCGCGCGTTGGGTTCAAAGGAGTATCCGCGGGCTCCCCAAGACGATGAGCAAGGGGAAGGCGACGCTCCACAAACATACAGACGGATATTTCGGTTTGTGTGCGACGACAGGACTGATGTGGTTCTAGGTGAACCCGAAATATGGTCCGGGGCGGAACGCGAGATCCGGAACCACCTTTGGGATACGAAAGTGACGTTCGCTGGTCAAAGGCTGCTGAGCACTTGACAGCTTTGCTTGTTCAGTTCCAAGTCCCTTCTAGCAACCGGGGGTCAGGTGAACTGCAGTCCTTTTCGACAATGTGGGCGGGAACCCGGGTTTCTGCCGATATCTCGTGGATCTCGAAATAGATGACTTGTTTATCCAACTTCTGCCGCAGGATTAAACGACTGCAGAGATAAAGGAAGAAGAAGTAGTAGAAGAAGAAGAAGAAGCAGCAGCAGCAAGGTTGTAGTATACGAAACCGCCGTTGATGTGGTGGTCAGCTAACGAAGATCTGTTATACAGCACCTGGATTAGCGAGATGCTCTTCAATGTCCGTCAAGATTTGTCGTTGATGTGATTTGCATTGCCCAGAACCAAGTTATGAACCAAGCATAAGGTAGCGAGACTGGAAGCTGACAGTCTCGTTTATGGGCAAAAGGCGTTTAAGAAATCGAGCGGCAAGTCGAGTTGGGCGTGGGGATGAGAAGGGTAAAGAATGACAAGATGTGGCTGCGAGCGATGGAGACACAAATGGGGAGTGCGTCTGGACGGAGTAAAGAAAAAGCAGGTAGGGTAGAAGGACAAGGGAGGCTAAGGCAAGGCAAGGCAAGGTACAGCAGTCTTGTTTGGGTCGTCATGTCACTCAACGGGTACTGTACTAGTGCCGGGGGTTTTTAAGTGACGATAGAGGGTTTGCGGTGCCATCGAAGCATCAGGTCTGGATCCGGGGCTCTCCGCGCGTGGAAGCAGAATCGGAAATATTATCTGGAGTGGTGGAGGGCTTGACGACATCCCTGCAACTACTAGCCCAGGAAGCAAGGAGGACGAACAGGGCTGTGGAAGATGCTCATCAACCAAAGTAACTAACGTGTTTCGACCGGAGAGTGGGCGCAACCGGGGTGCCAGGGTCCTGGTTCAAGAGGGTAAGGAACCCAGGAACCTCGGACAAGTCACCAGGAAGCCCCATGATCCCTGTGCTGAAGCGTCGACACCCAGGATTTGATGATGGCGAATCGGCAACAGCTTCGAGAATAAGGTCGCCGTGCCGCGACTCACTGACATTTCCCGTCAACAAGCCCACTTGGACTCGACCAGGGTGTGCGCTCTCAACTTTTTGTGCAGAAAACAGGGGAGGCAATATGGCCACTACTGCTGCTCCCCCCCTCTGTAAAAGGCAAGGATTACCTTAAGGGGGCTTGACAGGTTGGCTTGACTTGATCGATGTTACTTGTGTTCTGTGGTCAAAGTGACTGCGCAGTTGTGCCCTTCTTCCTTTCCACCCATCGGGGACTTTGTGCAAATAGTGGGCGTAATTACAGAGAGAGATAGAGAGAGCATCATAGTCGACCTAAGCTCTTAGGCCCCCTTGATTGTAGAGAGGAGGGAATAATGCGCCTCTACTTGTAGGAGGAACTCACTCACATGCAGCTTGAGTTCCCAGGCCTGGGGTAAGGGGGCTTGCTTGAAATGGATATTGAGTGAAAGCGCAGGAAAGAGTTCAGGTATGTACAGCAGATGGTGTGGTAGAGGATGCAAGTGTGTGTGGATGGATGGATGGAAGGATGGATGGATGGATGGGCGAATGTACCATTGTACTACTCTGTAGTGCAAAATGTGTGGATGGGTGTCGCGCGCCCGTCGTTGGTTCGGTTGTCTTTGCTAGAGAAAAGCCTGCAGACTCCGCACATGAAGCTCTTCCACTTCTGCATTTGGTTGCAGGAGACTTGTTGCTGTTGGGAGTCGGCCGGCATTCTCTCGGGTTGTGCCATCAACATCTAGTGGGCTGAGGGCCTATTTTAGGACATGATGTGCATCTGGAGCCTTTCTAGCAACCTTTGCAGTACGTTGCAGATGGGCCAACTTTGGTCCAGGTCGGTCGCTTCAATTTTCCTCTTTCTCTTGTGTCATTTCGTTTCTTCCCTCGCCTCGTCGGGTTACAGTCTACTAAACAGCCGACCGATAGAGGAGGCGACAGCCCACCAAGGCGGTGTACGTGCGCTTGGTGAGAAGGAGCCGCTAGGCCGTTCGCCGGGAGCCATCGTGCCATCGAACATTGATCTTCGGGGCTTTTTTTTTTTTTTTTTTTCTTCCCTTGCTGCCACCTGCCGCAGCGAATGGATTGGCGTCAACGACGACAGGCATGGCTCTGACCATGTAATCGTGACCCGATCTTGTCATAAAATCTGGCCTAAGGGTTCTCCGTGATGTCCATGGTATTGCTAGCGAGCTATATCAAATAACACTTGTACATTATCTGGGAATAGATGAATAGACCAACGATTGTGTTGGGAAGCATGGCGTACGTGTTTTGGTGTAGAATACAAAAGGATTGAGAAAGGAAACTGAGCCATTTTACGTACCAACCCCCAAAGACGTCTTGACGTGTCTTTTGGGCCTCTTTCTTAAGTTTTGTAGTGGGAAGGGGCAATTCCGTTCCCGCAATCGGATTTGTCTTGGTTACCAAGCTCTGTTCGATACGTTTGTCGCGTGCGTTCCGCCCGGTTGACGGCTGGTTCTTGACCGTTCTGCAACTGCTAAACTTGTGTAGCGTTTATTGTTGAGACCAACATGCAATAAGCATATTTCGGTGGCAGAACCGAAAGCCCGATTGACGTTTTATCTCTCCGAGAGCTGTCAAAGGACTGGCGCAGACAGGGCTTCAGCTACGGAAGAGCAGCCGTAGCTCCCTCAAACGCGTGGCGTAGGATGATGTCGGCGAAGCCCTGTGTTGGGGAAGAGCGAGAGGGGGAGTCAGCAACCAGGCCAGGGGTTCTCACAGCGTGCTATTCAGCACCTGTTGACCGATTCGAGGCTGCTCTCCGGGCTGTTGGCTAGGGGTTGATATTGGTGGGGAGCGACGTTGCAGGGGCGGGAATCTGCAAGTTGCCGCAAAAGAACACGACCGGCCGGTCCACTGGCCACGCAAGAGACGTGATGCCGCAAGGATCTGTCGAGCCCACTACTAGAAATAGCAGGGTGAAATGTGACGGCTTTGGCAGGCCTAGAGCCGACGGAACCGCAAAATGGCGAAAAACGAGCTCCCTTCCAACGTACGCCACAACGTTCCGTGACAAGGGTTCAATAGGTCGGCGTGTTGCTGGTATCCAAGGATTGTGAAGGTGTGCGTGCTGCAGTGGAAAGACCAGGGAAAAGGAAAAGGACCCAGATTTGAGGCGCAATTCTCGCTCAAAACGTCTTGATTCGTGACTCGTCAGGTCTTTGCAAAAATGAGTTTCATTAGCGTGACACCAGCTGTCTTCTTGACTTGCTTGTGTTGATATTGGTTTGGAAGGAAAAGGTAAATGTCGTTGTCGATTTAGAAAACCCTTTTGGTGTGAAGAGAAACAAAAAGGCTATAGTCGTGGACCACCTTCGGTACTCTCAGCAACGATAACTTGGGCCAATCTCCAATTATTGGGCATAGATTTGTCTCGTCTTGGCATTGGCCGAGAATGGAACTCAGCTGGCTCCAGGTAACAAAGATCGCGACTCGTATATGGAAACTAGCCAGGATTACATAGGGGTGGATAAGGAGCATGAAGTTGAATATGATATGATGGTCGTGTTAAGGTGGGCGGCAATTCTGATCTTCAAGCCAATAAGGCAGGACAGATATTACACGTAAGGAGGTCTCTATAGTTGACGAACAATAGTTGTAGAAGCCAATGCACAAGAAGTGTGTAATGGGGCCGTACACCAGGCTGGCTGGCTGGACAAGTGGCTATGGTATCTAAGCACAAGCAAGGGGACGGAAAACTACGTGGTCAGAAGGGAACACCTTCCCAGTAATAACAAAGGAGGGCCCCAATTCTGATCAGCAAATCAATGTGTGTCTGGTCCCTATGCTGCGCCGTTATGTAAGATGAGCTGGGACAATGGCAGTGATGGTGTAAGAGAGATGGCAGTTCGGTGACCCCACACACCAGTATAGGTCGGGGCGGGACGGATCAGCATCGCGCAGAGCCAAAGTATCCTTGAAAGGGTGTGTGTACGAGAGTTTGAATTGCAGATGGTATGTCGTCGTCCTGTCTTCCTCCCATCAAGGAGTTGATCAAACGCACCAACAGGCTCGGAAGAGGAAGGTCAGAGAAGACGGGTACTAAGAATAAGCCACGGCTGGCGAGGGGAAGCTGGTAAAGTGAATTGACACAACCTTCCTCTTGCTGTGGGTGTCAAGTGGCAGATGGAGGTCAGTGTAAGAACGACAACCCCACAAGCGCAGACTTGAGTTGGACTCAACGGGGTTAGGAGGTGGGCGATTTTTCAGTTCCCGGTTCCAGAGATCCAGATCTAAAGCACGCCAAACATAGTGACTACCAGTAGACGCCGGGGCCTCTCGTAGGTACGGACAAATAGCGTCAAACCTGCTTGGTTGAGCACCCCGGCGTGAGCCTGTCGGAGACTGTCCGATGTGTAAGATGAGGCGCCGTGAGGAAGAGGTAAATGGCGGTGGGCTGCAGGTGTGCGGCGATGGTAGCATGCGTGTGTCGTCGAGAATGGCGTTTGGGGCGCACACTAATGGCATCTAACGCACACACAACTCGTCGTAGCGTGCCATTTTTTTTTTTTTTCCTTCCATGCGGTACCCAGTGCTGAGCTGTGTACTATGCCCAACGGCCTTGAAGAGCCGATTAAACGAGACTGAATTGCCAACCCACCAAAGAGGTGGTCTGGCCCACACACTGGGGATATTGGGGCCATGAAGCAAGGCGGTGCTAGGACTTGGAGCAAGACTCCAAAAGATGAAGGGACTCGAGTCAAGATGGTAACTGTGTTGTCCAGGGTCCTGGCCCTTGGCCACTCTACTCCTGCCCACGTCTGTTCCCAAAGGAAAACATCAGTGGGGACTTGGGGCCAGCTAGGGCAGGGGTATGT